TCCTGTCCCCTTCGCAGAAAAGCACCCCCACAGCATGATGTTTCCACCCCCATGCTTCACAGTAGGGTTGGTGTTCTTGGGATGCATCTCATCCTTCTTTTTCCTCCAAACACGACGAGTGAAGTTTAGACCAAAAAGTTCTACTTTGGTCTCATCTGACCACATGACTTTCTCCCATGCCTCCTCTGGATCATCCAGATGGTCTTTGGCAAACTTCAGACGGGCCTGGACATGTGATGACTTGAGCAGGGGAACCTTCCGTGCAATGCATGATTTGAAACCATGACGGCGTAGTGTTCTACCGACAGTGACCTTTGAAACTGTGGTCCCAGCTCTCTTCATGTCATTGACCAGCTCCTCCCTTGTAGTTCTGGGCTGATTCCTCACCTTTCTCATCATCCGTGATACCCCACGAGGTGAGATCTTGCATGGCGCCCCAGTCTGAGGGAGACTGACAGTCGTCTTTAGCCTCTTCCATTTTCTAACAATTGCTCCAACAGTTGATCTATTTTCACCAAGCTGCTTGGCAATTGCCCCGTAGCCCTTTCCAGCCTTGTGGAGGTCCACAATTTTGTCTCTGGTGTCTTTTGACAGCTCTTTGGTCTTGCCCATGGTAGTAGTTGGCGTCTGACTGACTGTGGGGTGGACAGGTGTCTTTAAAGAGCTCAGACAGGTGCTACTAATTTAGATTAATGAGTGGAGTAGAGGTGGACTTTTTCAAGGCACAGTAACAGGTCTTTGAGAGCCAGAATTCTTGCTGTTTCTCAGGTGTTCAAATACTTATGTTCAGCAGTGCTAGACAAATAAATTCTTTAAAAATCTTTCAATGTGATTTCCTGAATTTTTTTTTAATTCTGTCTCTCAGAGTGGGAATGCACCTACAATGTGAATTTCAGACCCCTCCATGATTTCTAAGTGGGAGAACTTGCAAAATCGCAGGGTGTTCAAATACTTCTGTTCCTCGCTGTAATTAGGCTGTGTGAGGACAGCGGTAGAGACCACAGCATCCACCACCCAGTGGCATTCTTATGGGGTTTGATCCACGCCTGGGGAAAAGCACCGTTATCTGGCCTCTTACACATTTATCATTTCCATAAACGTTGTGCACATCAGATTTTTATAACGAGAAACTTAACTAAAGCTGCAGTGACAGAACATTTCAGTCCTGCACACATTCACTTCATCTGAGGTAAAACGACCAACAAATTCAAGTCCGCATTTGTTCAGCTCTGACCTTTGACCTCACACACAAACACTGAGTTCACCCTGTGATCAGTGTCTATTTACAGACTGTTAATGTACCAGCCAAAGTCCACGTCATTTCCACTGACTTTACCTTTGAAAACTGAGGCTGAAAGCATGTCGACGCAGGTTTGACCCTCTCAGACAAATCAGCCAGACTCGGGCTTTAGCAGAAACATTTTATTCTGTTTTATAATACAAGCAAAACAATAAGGCAATAAATCAGCTAAAAAAAGAAAAGCTACTTGTACCAGAAGGATTTTCAAGAGAAATCTATAACACATAGAGAAACAGATTATAAATTGGCTCGTCTGTGCTGTTTGTCTTGCAAAAATCCACGTTTTATTTGGTCAAGTGTTTATACTTACACAACCATGGCGAACGCGGTGTGCTTTTTAGAAATCAGTGCAGTCAGAACTTTGTTTAGGTTTGGAGAAGCTGCAGAGGCGGAGTCAAACCGAGCCAAACCAGCGACCCAACACTCTCATGCTCAGGAGTGTGAACTGACCTGGGCCTGCTTGGTCTGCTCACGCAGTCGTCTCTGTGCTCACACTCGTCTGAGTAGCGGTGGCCTTAGTGCACGTGGGGACGCTGTACTTGGTCAGGACCGATTTAAACTGCTCCAGCGTGGCGTCGGTTCGAACCCCCGTCGGGTCAAAGTGAGTCCGGCTCACCCTGAAGCCAGCCTCCATCAGGAACTGCAGAAACTTGTTCAACCTGTTTTGAGACAGAGTACTGGAGTTTATGTCTGGATTCAAACAAATGTGGCACAGTTCACCACCTGCTTTACACCTACAGAGGTCAGAGGTCACTCACTTGGGCATGTTCATGCCTCGGATGCTGTGGCGGTGGATGCTGTAGTAGAACGGCGGATGTTCCAGAGATGTGTCAGGCTTCAGCTTCTTCACTACATTCCCAGACTCGTCCCCAGTCTTCCTCTTACCTGCAGAAGAGCTGAGAATTAGATGTGAACAGACAGCTCATCTCAGAGGGGCTAATGCCACCCATGGTAAATCAGCCCCTGCTGGAGCCACTGTCGTTTACAAGCTCATGTTCTCTTCAAAACCACAGAACTTTATCTTACATTTTAATGGAAACCCCAGAGTTGCTATAAACTCCAAATAAAGCAGTTGGAATCTGGAGAAATGTGTGTAAACAGATGTACACATCATCTAGAACAGTCCCATGTCATGTGATGCTACAGCCATAAAAACACACTGTAGCTGGAGTGTTGGAACAAGCAGATGTAGAATGTACAGTGTGGGGAAAAAAAGACTTTTCTGGAGTTAAACAAACAAGAAGTAACTTGAGGGTAAAACTCAAGAGCATATGTTATTAAGGATGTCATTCATGCATTTTGGGTTTCCTTTGCAAGGCATCTTTGTTGTAAATTCTCTGTCAGGTGTAAAGCCCAGTCAGCCTACACTGGCCCCCAGTGGACAGACGGGGAGCCACAGCAGCTCTGTGCTACAGAAGCCCCACGGGGGGGCCCAGCTGTCCCCGCTGACTGGCCTGCCTGGTCATCACATAGTGCTAGAGATGATGTAGACAGTGGAAGCTCATGAGAAAAAAAACAAACAGTGTATGAACACTGTATAACACAATGTGCACTGTGTGTAGCCGCTGAGCCACAGAGGTCCGAGGGCTCAGGTTTATTTGTGTGGCATGGTATCATACAAAGGCAGTTCAAAGTGCTTCACAGGGTGACAGAAAACAGAAAGCACAGAGAGAAAACATGCATGTTGTTTGTGAAACACTTTGTCCTGGTCCTCAATTAATCCACCTCCATCACTTCGCTCCAGATTTAGGAGCCACTAGCTCTGCAGGTTATGTTTATAACCCTGGGATCGCAGTCAATGACAAAAACTCACTTTCTTGAAGTACCAAAGCTGATAAGACAAAACGTTCTGGGCCATCTGGCCTTGTTATCATATTTTGTAGTGATCACTGTTTACCATGAGCAGGATAACACACCGAGTGTCCTGAGTGCAGTGGAAACAGCATCTGTACCCATGTACCAACACCAGACGAGTACGTTTCACCAGGCGCTGTTTGTTCTGACTGAAGCTTTACTTCATGGTTGAGCAGAACTGCACTCAGCCGAGGCAAACAGACAAGTCACTTGAATGATTATGGTGTCGACAGCAGGAGAAACACATTTATGCAGAGTTAATCTTTAAGGCTTTAAATCCAGTGGGTTTCGGGTCTATAAAAGCAGTGTGACTGACTCACCGCACTGATCAGCAGGACCAGACTCCTCGCCGCTCTGTAGGGTCCTGATGACGACTCCACACTCCACTGCACAGGAAACAATACTGTATAAACACGTGCTGTTCATACGCAGGTTACAGGTTACAGGTGAGTATCAGACTGGCGTCTCACCCTGGCTGGTGAGAGCTGATGGCCCGTGGACCAAAGACTTGAGGGTGGTGCACTCTGACTCGCAGATCAGAGTCTTGACGAGCGGCTGGATGTCGTCCATACTGTGCTGCACCGCTGCTGACAGCATCCCCCGCAGGAAGCCCGTGTTAAACAGAGGACCAGACCTGGACACGCACACAGTTGTGAGGACTGTCACCAACAAGTTGCATTTCACAGCCTCTAGGTCTCACCTAAACCACTTCTGCATTCAGAGTTTTATTTGTGTCTGTTGTCAAGTAGCTGCTGTGTCTCAACTCCACATGCAGCCCTGTGAGGTGTGTCTGTCACTGAAGCTGTTAATGCTACCACGTGCAGCGATCAGAGATCAACCGGCACTGGCATCAAACCAAACAGGTGTACTTTCAGTGAGGTATGATCATTTTCACTGTGACTGGACCTCCTGCTGTCACACACATACATGCGTTAGGAGGTGCAGCTTCCCTGCACTAACATACAGCAGAGTCTCCTGAGGAGTCTGAGTGTTTCTGTCTTTGTGCAGTGACATTGAGTTTTACCATAACGGTCCCAGCAGCACTGCTGTCTTTCCAGGCAGACGTCCATGACAGTTACAGGGCAGTGTGTCTGGAAGAAGCACAAGTTAGGACTTGATTCAGTTTCCATAGTTAGCTTACTGTGCTCTGCAGAAAAACCAACTACTCAAACAAAGCATGTTTGGACACAGAGGAGAGCTGGCCGCAGCTGACCACATGCCAGTGACACTTGTCTTTACCGCCGACACCTAAACATTCACAAAAGGTCTCGTCAAGACTTTGCCTATAACATTAGCTATAACTGAAATCATGGCTCTTGTCATGAATAAGAATTCCCTCTTTCAAACTGTGATAACCATAGAAAAACTAAGGACGCACCATATCGGTCCTCTTACCGGACCATTTTAACCCAGCTGGGTCTCGCTCTAAGTCTGGTGTGAAGCTGGACGTGAACAGAGCATGGAAGGCTAACGTTAGCAAAAACTAAATGTAGTTTTCTTAAAAGTACATTTTCTGTACTTACTGTCGGGAGGTTTAGCATGAAGTAACTTGCATTACATCCTTACACAAAGCTTGATAAAAGAGAACAATCCAGAAAACAAGGTAAAATAAACACCAACAATAAAATCATACACTGTCCAGGAGAACACAGGAGAATGACGGGGTATCAACCGTGTCTACTGAAAAGCTACATCTCACACTTGGGGAAAGGAGAGCACCAGGCTGTTCTTGAATCAGCAAATACCTGATAGTGAGGGGGGAACAACTCAGATCGGTGCCTTCCTAATAAAAATGATTTGATGTGAACTTGTTAGTGTGACTGTGAGGAACAAGTGTCTATAACTGGCTTTGGTTCACCTGTGTAAATGAACACAAACTGGCCTAAAGGAGGCAGCAGAGAGCTGGTGTATCCAACACGCTCATGCTGCCCAGACAAAGTCTGTAACAGACACCACTTGAGCTGCACTCACCATCCACCATGTTTCCTAGCTTGAGGAAGACTCTCGCCTCACACCACTGACAGTGGACCAGCTTTCTCAACTTCTTGGCCGACTCGTCAGCCTGCGTGGGACCTCTGAGGACTCTTACCACCACCAGGACGAAATGTTCCAGCGCCACAGCCAGCAGCACCTCAATGCCTTTGTTACAGCGTGCCGCCGCTCTGGACACACATATACAAACAGGGTCAGAATTCACACGGCACAAGACAGACACTAACAGGGCGACTGAAGGTCATACCTGGCCACAGTGGCGACTACCATGCGTGCAGCCAGCTCTTTGTAGTACTCAGTGCGTACGATGTGGCAGCCGTAGTGACGCAGGGTGACGTTGGGAGACTTGGCGTACAGGGAGCTGGTGTCTGTGGACGTCACAGAGATGATGCCCAGGTTACGGACATTTCTGAAGGCGGCGTCCAGGTAGTTCACAGCCGTACCAAACGGATCCAAGTGGCTGAAAGATGTGAAACATAACATGACTGATTACAGGAACACATACTTAAGATGCACGATACTTTTACATTACAGAATTTAAAACCACTCATGTCCCCAGGCTGGAGTGCACTTTAACCTGTAAACCAGTACAAATCCACTCCTACAAAGAGGCTACGTACGGGGAAAGTCCAGATATGGTATCAAAAATGACTTAAGACTTCTTGACACAAGGATGTCAATCATGTCAACAGAAAATACCAGCTAACCTTAAAATCTGTGAAATGTAAAGACTTAACATAAGTAACGAAAGCATAGCGATGGAAGATAAAGGTGATGCTGTCTTTAAACTTTTAGTTTAAGGGTTAATGTGTTAAGACAGAACAGCAAAGAGCAGCAGGTGATGCTGCTCTGATGAAAATAAAACCTATGTTTTGCAAAATCAAACATGCTCATGTCGTAGCTGGTTTCATCTGAGACTACGCATGGGACTCAGGCGGGTACTGCTGTGGTATTTCCCAGTCACTACACAGTAAAGGCTGAATTACCACCGTATGTGTCGCGTCTGCTCCACCCGGTCACATGTAAGATTTAAATAACCGCACCGAGAAGCTCAATCACATTTTCTCACTCACATATAATCAAAAGGCCGCAGGTGCATGATGACGTTGGCGTCCATCTTGGCGACCTCCACCGTGGCGATGGGATCTTTCTCGATGTCCCCGCTGGCAGCGTCAGGCCCCCGGGAGCCACGTGTACCTCCCTCTGCACGGATGTGGTTTAGCTTGCAGTTCTCTTTAATCATTTTGACGCATGCGTCGCTGATATCTGTTATGGTCACTCTGACTGCGCTACAGAGGTGCTTCGCCCACTGGAGGCCCATGATCCCTGTGGGCAGGAAAGAACCAGCAGACACAAGACAGAGGCCTGATGTTAGTGTGTGTCCGTGGGAGTGTTAGGTTCATCCAGTGGTGCTGAACATGCACGCACTTTCTGTGCTGAAACGTTCTCTAACCAGTGTGAAGGTCTGTCATCATAACATCCTCCATGTTTCAGTCTAACGTTCAGCCTAGCGAGCAACGCCTACCCCGTCTCCTACGAGCTGATAAATGAAAGTTCTTGTTTTGACTAAAAACCCAATCACCATAAAAAAATATTCACAGCTGAGAAGCTGGAACTGTGAGCGAATTGTTGTTTTTGCTTCAAATGTCTGCTGCTTAAAAATCTGCCAGCAAAACAGGATAATTTATTTCTTTAGAGGGAAGAAACAGGAAAAGGCCGATACCCACACTAGAATTGAATGAATGACACTTTGTCTTTCTTATAACACAATGACGTTTTCTTACAATAACCTGCCACTTTACTTCTGTTTTACCATAAACCATAAGCCTACAGCACGTTCGCTGCCGTTGTTACAGTAGATCATTCCAGTCCCACCTGTGGCTCCGAAGGCATCCAGACACTCGAGCGGGTGTCTCTCTTCAGCCAGAACGGCCAGCGAACAAAACACCAGCTTCCTGCAACACAGACACCAATCAGAGTTGACAAAGATCTGCACATGCATGTCAGCGAGATCACGTCTCCTGTGTGCGCTGACCTGTTGGTCTTCATCTTGCGGTTGAAGTAGGTGTCGCTCTTCTGCGGGGTGGTGTAGTTCGGGAGGAGCTGGACGTTTGTTCCGAGTTCCTTCATGATCTCATATGCCTGGCCCGACAGAGCTGCTGACACATTCGACACGTTAAACCACACAGAAGCATCACTGCTTTTTACCACAATATTCTGCTGTATTTGTACGTTTGGTTTGTGTGATGTAAAAATCCTCCAATCAATTCATCTGATAACTTTGATACAGAATTCACATCTCTCAGCTGCTGCTCTTCGTCTTTTCTGAAACTTTGCCTTTGAATATGTGAACGTGGCTAATAGAACATGCAGACTCCACACAAAAGCCTTGGGTCGGCCGGGGCTTGAACCCAGAACCTTCTTGCTGTGAGGCAGCAGTGCTAACCACCATGGCACTGTATGTATATATTGTTCACATAAAGGCCTGTGTACCTGCAGGATTAGAAAAGTCATTTAGGTGGGGAAGTTCTGATTGTGCAGAACATAAATAAGCAAGGCAGCTGTCAAGGAGGCGACCATGTTGTTAATGCAGAGATTACAGCAGCATCAGTGTCTCTCTGTACTGGACTGTAGTCAGTCACAGGCTTTAGAGGAAGAAGTCTGAACTTTTTGGACTGTGCTTCCAAGTTTGTGACTCTTGACTATTATGCAGCTTCTAAGACCAGGAAAACACACCAGCCATGATGCTACAGTGACACAAGCTCCAGTCTGCATCTCATCTGACATCATGTTCGCCTGTTGTTCGGCGCCCTGTGCTGTGACAGACACATCATCTACCTGGCTCTTCAAACGAGACGTCGGAGCTAACGGAGTAGCTGGCCTCAGTCTCTCCTTTGTTGACGTGACGTTTCAGGTGGCTGATCATGTCCGTCTTTCGGGCGATGGTGGCAGAACACACCACACAGTGATAGTGAGCCATGTGTCTCCCTGACGCCTGGACACAAAACCAAATGTGACATGAACTGAATTTATGTGTAAAAAAACAAAAATATAGGCTGAAGGTAAATGTCCTAAAATTGCATCCAAAAACAAACATCGCACCAATCAGACAGAGCTGTTCATTTGACAGTAACTCTTCATTTCATAGGTCACACAGTTTCCTCATGTTTAGGAAGGGAGCACATTTATTAACTGTAATTTGTTGGTAAGTCTCCAGAAGGGACTGTGAAATCTGGTCTTAATTATAGGGGAACAAACTGTGCCGTGGCTAAATAAGCTAAGAGATCCACTGCATCTAGTCACATGCTAATAACGGTCCCCTAAGCTGTTAAAAAAAAAAACCACACACAACACAATGGATACTTAACAAGTAGCAATTAATTGGCTTTTTCTGTCCACATCAAGACAGTAAGGATTACTATAAATATTTTGCACTGAAAATGAAGGAAGACATGTCATAAAAACACAAGACACAACCTTTCTCTCAGTGCGATTAGGAATCACAGACAGTCCAACATTAAATCTATATCTATAATCTAGTTGCATCTCAGTTTTTTTAATTGTTCTAAGTTTAGTGGTACTTAGAAGAAGCAGCCAAGAAACCACCACATAAAAAACAACCTCCTGTACCTGCTGATGCTAATAAACCTAAGTTAGTTGTGTTTTAAATTCGCTAAACTGTAACCTTGTCCATTTAACTTGCACCAAACGTCCAAGTCAGTTATTAAGCAACCACAGGAGCATTAAGTGCAGGACCTGCTATGCTGATGTTTGGTGCTGCTGGAAGCCAGTGTTTTGCTGTCTCACCTGATCTCCACTGAGGCTGGGCTTCAGGTGTCTGCAGGGCAGGTGGCAGATGCACATCCTCTGGCCTGTCGCACATCAACAGTGGTTTGAATCACGATTTGATGCGCGTCTTCACCTTCAGCCTGACAGATCTGTACATCTCACTTTCATACAAATGTTTTAGCTTGGTATACTTTTCCTGATGTCCCAGAGGTGTGCAAGCTCTTTACTGCTATATGGCCAAAAGGGTGGCGTGTGACGACGAGCTTCACCTTCCTACCTTCAAACTCCACGTAAACTTTCCAGTGCAGGTTCTGCAGGTGTCGACGAAGTTTGTGGCTGTAGCAGGCTTTAAACTTCTCCTCCGGACACAGAGGACATGACTTTCGCCCCGCTGATGAGTGAAAACACACAATCACTAGGCCTGCTGCCAACAGTTGTTTTCATTATCGATTCATTTGTTGAGGTTTTTTTCTTCTTGATTATTCAATAAATCATGTCAAAAACTGTACTTTAAATGTAAAAAATGAGACGATAGCACTGCAGTACTCTAAAGACAACGGTCATCTTCCATCAAACCTCAGCTATTACATAAGGAGCAGCAAAAATAACTGAGAAAAAAATTCAATTTTTGGCACTGTTAGTTGAAAATGACACAGTATGTCCTTAAATTTCTCTTCTATGTTACTTAATGTTTAATAACAATAATAAGAACAGAAGAATAATGAAGAGTGACTGAAGAACCGAACTTACCACCGTTGAGGTCAACCAGCATCTCGAGGCCCTCCAGCTTAGTCTGGATGGAGATGTGCCTCTCTGTTAGTAGGAGAGGAGAAAACTCTCTGTAAAGGTTCAGTGATCCTGTCATTAAAATTTCCTCCTCTGTAAACACAGGTGTGCAGCTGCCATGTGCGCTGATTAACACACAAACAGTTATTAACTCACCAGTAGTTGTGATGGAGGGTTTGGCATCGTTATCTGCAGCAGCTTCATCCTTCACCTCCTGTTTGGCAGCTCCACCAGCTGACGGCACAGGTCCACCATCAGCAGCTTCATAGACACAGAGGAGAGGAAAAAATACTTTTATTTGAAATGTGTCACTGGGTAACGTAACTTGTCAGCTGCATGGCTCATTAACAGCTGTCATAGGTTTGTCAAAAAGAGGAAAACTAAACCTCTGTCCTCCCACTTTTAATTATTTTAATTATTGTGTGACTAACTTTTTGGTCTCTAAAATATGAGGAAATAATGAAAAATGTCCACAAGTCCAAGGTAATCTTTTCTAATGACCACATTGATCTTTATTTCTGTTAGAAATGAGAAAATCTCAAAACATAAAACCATTAAATTTAAAATAACCAAACCATTTTTCACAGCTACAAAATATTGGGTAAATGTCACAATACAGATAAACGAAGGCCCTCCTACTGAGTTTTAACACTTAAATTACCTTTTTCCTTCTCAAAAACTTTTGGGGAAAATGTGTCGTCGTATACTACTGATATTTTTAATATAAGATGGCCTCTTGTGTCCCAAATGCTTAATACTGGTCTCAAAAGTTAAAAAAAAAATAAAGATAAAATCAAAATAAAGACTATTTAGGGCTAGTCACTTTCCTCTGACTGTGAACGGTCCTGCGGTGCAGCTCCGTTATGAGACCGTCATCCGAAACTGTGGTAGAACCCTAATTTAACAAGGATTAAATCTCTACGAAGGGCTTTACACTAATATCAGTAACGACAGCGGTTTAGCTAATGTTAGCCCCAGCCCCTTTGACGCTGTTGTTGTTGACCGTTTAGGTCCTATGGCGGAGCTCCGTGGTGAGGCCCTTGTTGAGTTCAGTAGTTACAAACTCAAATTCTCCGTGAATTCACCGCACAGCGCTGGTGATGACTGAACCACAATTTACGCTGCAGTTTACGGTCCCAAAATCAGTGAACAAAGAAGGAACTGCTGCAGTTTACTTACGTTTGACATCGACGTCCTCCAGGTGTAGCTGAGCAGCATCCGCCTCTTCGAGCTGCGCCATTACCAACTACGGCGACACTCGTAGGAAACGTCATCTCCTAAGGAATTTACGTAAAGTACGCGGTTTATCAACGTAAGTTGGGTAGTGAATGGTACGGAAATTTCGACGGCAAAAAAAAACCCGTTAGTTAAGATTAAACGTTTAAACACTTACTTACAGCTGCGTAACGGTATAAGAAAAAAATTAAATTATAAGTTTTATGTATGTGTTTACACGGTGGTAGCAGAGCGTCATAAATGCAGGTGTGCAGATAACCAAAGGGGGCTCCGGCAAAGGCCCAGGGGCCCGAGCCCATGTAGGTCTGCTAAAATGTCTTGTTTGAAAGTCATAGAGCTCAGTTAACACGTACAAAATGACCACAGACCAAGGGCGTAGTTTTTCCTATGGACGGTAGGCACAGAAATTTGGGAGGACAGAAATGTCCCTACCAATATTTGAGAAAACCTGTGTGCCTTATCTTTGGAATGAGGCAGGGGTGTTCTCTACTGGGGCACAGGCCCCTGAAATCACAACTATTTTTCTTAAAACAACTACTGGTAAATGTAAAAATGTATGGATATTAATCTTGGACAATATTTCAGCATGCATTAAGAACATCATGTTAAAGGTCTGGCCCTGTATTATACATTTCTCTGCATTCTTCTACATTTCACAATGACTAATTTGACATTCAATCAGCCCCAGTTTGATTTGCCTACCAACAGATCATGAAGGAAAAAAACTTGGCACAGCGAGACAACTCAGAAAGCTATCCCTAAATTTAAATAAAGTAATCAAAATTTGGGTGGTGATGATTTTGAAAACAACTACACTTATCAAGACGAGCTTATAACATGTCAAAGCACAACTATGGGTATGGAGAATCTCTCACTAATGTAACCACTGAGCCTGCCCTGGTACTTCCACCATTTAATGATGGGAAAATGACCCAGCCTTGTGCAACTCTGTGGCAAAGTTCCAAAATCCAAACCAAGTCTTCAAAGAGTCAAGAAACACTGACAACTTAAAAAAAAAAGTCCAACTCCAGGGGATCGGTTACAGTTCAGTTGCTGCAGTTGTAGCCGGTCTCATCTCTACGTGGCCATCAAGTTAAATCTCTGCGTTGTGTCTTTAGTGACGAATCGTAGACAGGGGTTTGCCATCCACAGGAGAGTTTATTCTCTGTGTGAAACACAACTAAATCAGTATATCCACCTGTCAGGTCTCTCAGCTTTCCACAGTAACTGAGCGTGTGCTAAAGAAATCAAAATAATAATACAAATAAAACACTCTTATTACCTGTGTGAAACACAACTAAGTCAGTACATCCACCTGTCAGGTCTCTCTATTCACATCTGAAGGGCAGAAAAAGGCAACAACAGACTCCACGTGAGACCTTCAA